CTGGATATGCCTCTCACTAAAATCATCTCAATAAGTTGATGGTCAGCGGTGTTATTTGCAGCCCTCGCAGATACAGCCCGCCGTTGGCGTCACAGACACTCTCCACCACTGATAGGTGTATTGTGTCCACCAATCCATACACACACTGTGCTGTTGCTCAGGGGGTTTGCATTTGATGAGAGGGGGGTTAGTGGGAGGGCTGCAAATAACACCGCTGACCATCAACTTATTGAGATGATTTTAGTGAGAGGCATATCCAGCAAATATTTTTATGATAAACTTTTTTCTCTCTAAAAGTTACCTAGATTACAGTAGTTTGACAATAGGTGAGACATAGCTCTGGTACAGCAATGTCTTTAACTTTAAACATGGTTTTTGTCCTAAACTGCACAGTATTTCATTAAATTGATAACAATGTATGCAATGATTCATAGAATTTCCAGTAATAGCACCTTGCTAGTTCATAGTGAGTTATATCATAGTTATATCATATTTAGCACCTGGAGCTTGAATTTTATCGCCAAATATACAGACAAATTATGTATTAATTGTTGGCATCCGTGCCATGCATTCTATAGCCAGGATATAGAGTATATTTTATAATCCAGGGATGATTTAGTACCCGAAAAATGTCATCAACCTTGAAGTTGTTAATGATATTTGTATTATACCTTGCATTAATAATTATGGTTTAAATAGATGATTTGTACAGTTTGTTGTTTATGCATATTTCCAATCGATATTGATATTGAAAATGAAATGCTTAGCAATGGATATAATTTGCAGGATTTGAGCGCCGATTAGTTATGAATATTACGATTGATTTGTTTCATAAATATTTTGCAATAACGTCCCTATACTGTAGTGTGCATTGGATTAGTTTTAAATTTATCTAATCGTAAAATGTTTGATAATTAGTGCTCTTTATAATGAGTAAACTTCACGTTTTATTAATAATGTTGGGATATTTAAAACGAAAGCTACTTGAGCATCTACTATACATTTATATTAAACTTATTTTGTTATATAAATTTATAAATTGTAAATTTACCATTTTGATAATCAGTATAGTACAGTACAATACTGTCATTTAATGAGTCATTTAATTATACAGATTAATCAAAAATGATTATAATATCCAATATATAAAATATTTAATAAGTAACTAATAAAACAAGTTAGTTGTTATTGTATAAAGAACATGCACTTTGGTTGCTTTGCTAATCTAATGAAATTAAAAATATAAGTTTACTTTTAAATAAATCATTGAGGTGATCCATATAAAATACACAATAAATATACAATGTTACATTGTCAATGTACTGTATTAATTAAAAGTATAGTATTGTTTCAAAAGTTTCCAGTGAATTATATTATCATTTATAAGCAAATTGGGTACTAATCGGTTATATTCTGTGAGATATGAAACAAATATCTTAACGTTAGGATACTTTGTAGACAATCATATATTGCATTCAGAATTGTCAACAGACTATGGATTTCATATTTGCCCAGAAATTCATTGCATAACTAGTAAATTGTTTTATAACAAAATATAGACTGTTTCTGGTTTTTTGTCGTAAATATTTTATGTTTAAATTCTTAACAAATTTTTACCACTATTTTGTGTTTAATTTCATACATATTTTAAATTATTGTATAACATATCGCATAGATTTTATATCTGTGCAAACAAATGGTTTTGCAATTGTTTTTATATTCAGTTTGGGTTCATAAACAAAATATATTGTATTATAAGTTATTTCCCAATAAAGTCATTAGAAAAAACTATTTAATCAATCGATTGAAATCTAATGATAAGCGATAGAAAAAACAATATGTATTAAAAGCGTATGAAAATTGCATTTTATAAGTGAAAAATAGATTATCTATTATATAATGAACGAAAAAATAAAATACTTTTGATTTTATGTTGTGTTGGAAATCAATGATTTCAAAGCAAACACAACACACAAATTACATATTCATTGATAATTTCCGATAACTTTAATAAAACAACACAAATGAAATGTTTTTTAAAAATATAATTTATATGTATTTCTCGATAAATATACATAAAAATCACATAAAAAGCATCTTTTAATTTCATAATCAAAATACAAACAATCAATTGATTTGCAAAAAACAACTCAAAAACACCAAAACAAACATATGTTATGAAAGAAAGAAAAAAAATAACTGTTAATATCGGAAGCGATGGTATAATTGAATGACACGTTTAGATAATGTGTTACTTTTTTTGTTTGTCTGTCATTAAAAACAACCAAAAAAATTCAATTCGCGATTAATTATAAGAATTAAAAAACGGATAATTAGTTTTCCGGTTAAACAGTAATCGGCGGCTAATTATATGACAAAATATGTTATCATTAAGAACTGGTTGCGGCGGCGGCCGTAGTAGAGGCCGTAGCGGCGGCCAAAACACTGGCCGCTGTGGCCGAGGCGTCACCGCCGGCCTGACTCTTGAGCGATTGGCGCCGTTTGACGTCCCAATTGTAGACACGAGCCATATTGACTTCGGTTGTGGTGATCTGATCGCGCAAAAAGTCCAGATCGGTCTCGATTTGCTGCAGATTCTTGTTGGCTGACTCTTGAGCGATTGGCGCCGTTTGACGTCCCAATTGTAGACACGAGCCATATTGACTTCGGTTGTGGTGATCTGATCGCGCAAAAAGTCCAGATCGGTCTCGATTTGCTGCAGATTCTTGTTGGCGGTGTCGTAGTTCTTGGTCAACAACACTTCCGCCTCTTCTATCGTGTACTCCAGCATTACGTTCGCCTATTGGACGCGTCCAGCAATAGATCCCAACCAATCATTCGGCAGATTTATAATAAAAATAGATTCAAAAGAAAAGACATAAATGAGTGTTTAGGAGAGGGAACCGATGGCTTAAGACTACATACACCTAACCAGAGGCACACTTTATCGGTGGCCGGTATTGTGGACCTCATGTACACCTGATCCGAGAGCATGAAATGGGTTTCCGTCTCCTGTTTGTTATCCTAATCATAGGATATCACGAGAAAATCAATTTAAAAAACTTGTAATTCAAACAATAGATTACAAACCCGTCGGTGTTTGACAAGTTTGAGGACATCAATAGTGGTCTCGATGTCTGGGATCTGTTTCTTGAGCCGACGCTTCTTCTGCATCAGATTCTGTTCCATAAAACGGTATTTAGTGTGCGATTCGTCCAAACGTTTCAACACTTGTGTGGCGTTTGCGTCGTTTTCCGTCCGCGACATAAACGCGTCCACATCTGACTGCAGATGACATATAATCAACAAAACATGAGTACATTATTAACATTATTGTCACCCAATAAAGGGATCTAATTGTCAGCAATCACTACATTTTACACCACCAGTAATAACAGGTGTTGCACTAAACCATAACATAAACACCCCTTAACTCGTGAGTACAGATTACTGGTAATTATCTCATGACTATTATCTTATAGACCGGTCCCTTAGGGGACACAATACTGGCCACAAATAGTGGTAAACAATTAGATGCAAATGAATTGACAATTAATGATAATTAGAGCCACAAATGAGCGAAACGTGCAAAACACGTGATCTCTTTGGCAACTCTTGGTGTGTCCGATAGGAATCGGTCGGTGACTATACTGACCACAAACTCGGCGTACGGTATGCCTAAACTGTTGCTCTTCTCGGCGTCCGACTCGTTGACGGGTATGGGTGTGGATGTGGTGACAGTGGAGGCAGTGGTGGACACCGGGTCTGCCGTCGTTGCGGTTGGTTTGTCGGCTGCTGTGGAGGAGGTTGTGGTGATAGTGGTGTTGTCGGCCATTGTTATCGTATTGTGTGTTCAATCGGTGGATCCAAACCAACGGTTTGTGTCGAGTATTAGTGGCCAACGGATGGATCTGTCGGTGATATCCAATCAATTGCTTTTGTATTGTCTGTGAAATTGTCTGCCAATTGTTTGGTCACGTGTTGTCTCCACCAATCAATTACAGTCGACTCCCGATATATGTGTTTAACACGTGTTTATTGTGTAGACATTTGTTTTAATCATTAATGCATTTAACATTTATTTATGTTCATTGTTTAATTTATCACAATTAATTCTGATTTATAACCATGTTGATTTTATACTATATTTGTTTGGTATTAGTTAATTGATTTGCCTGTAGTTCAAGTAATTCACTCATTGCCAGCGAGAGAGACATCTATTGATCCGTAAATGTATTATAAGTTTTAAATACATTTAAAATAGTTTTTATAATTAAAATTAAATATTTAAACAAAATATTATTTATGGTAAAACGATAACTGCGGCACACATGATCTAGGTACATTTTGAAAATATTTATTTTATACCAAGGTTATTAACAAAATAATAATAATGTCAATTTACACGCCAAACGCACACCATTTTCGTCACTATATCTATGAACAGCCCGTAATGTAAACCCAAATAACGTAACGGTATTAACGAATGGCAGAGAAAAATGTAAACAAAAACACATCAAAAGTCAATCAAAAAATATATTTACAAAAACTAATTGTAATTAAAAAATAAAAGTTTTAAATTGTTTTTTCAAATGCATTAACACTTTGTTTTGACAGCACTTTTGGTCACATTTTATTTACACGATTGAAAAGCGATGCAAACAAACGAGTTGTTTGTGAAGGTTGTGACGGATG